GTTTTGCTATTGATCTCTACATTTTTTTGATATTTTAGGTCATATACTTTTATTTTTTTATTATTTTAGGTCCCTTCATGGATAAACTATAAAGACCTTGGAGGAATCTAAAGAAATAAAAAAAACAAAAGTATAGCTAGAGAACTAAAACACTAAAAAAAAAAAAGTGAAGGGAGCAAAAGCAAAACACGAGCAAAAGATAGGAATCCAAAGTTATGTTTTCTCTAAACATAAAATATAGATAAAGTACCCATAAATTTGAATCTTAAAGTTTTGAGTTAAGATATTGTATCCTTTTGCAGTTTATACTTAAAATAATTGTACTTTTATATTTTTTTAATTATCTTACCAAAATTTAAATATAGTTAAATTATTGATGTTATCAAGAAAAAATTTTAAATTTAACTTTATCAGTAAATGCATAATCTTTAAAAAATATTTTTATATATAACATTTTATTCTAATTCATATAAAATTATGAAAGGATAAAATTGTACTAACGTCTGTTGAATGAAGTTGTTGTGAAGGTTAGTCCAATTACTAAGCAGGTGTGACATAGAGATAACAGTTTGGACCTTTTAAAACATCACTTTAGCATTCGATTTTTGGAGGTGTATACTTGAGAGAGGACATTTCCTCAAATGGTACTCAAAGTTTTCAAAAAATTAGTCTCCATATGAATAACTTTGAAAAATAAATTAACAAAAAGGTTAGTCCTGCGAGGAAGGAGATGGAGGGTACATGCTGGAGATTGAACTCGTCAGCCGCTAGAGCTTCCCACCCCCCCCCCCCAAACGAGGTGCCGAGGAGGAAGATGGTTCATGAGCACAACACTTTCAAGTTAAAATTGGAAAGCTAAAAATATTTTGACAAAAAACAAAAAGGCATTAGGGTTTCCTTGTAGCTTTGCTCAACAGCAAAACCGTTCCTTCTTCCCATCTCGCCCGGTGCGCTTCTGTCTTCCAACTTCCAGGGTAACGTCAAGATGGCCGATGTGGTTGCTCCACTGCCTAGTCACGATCTCTCCGAGCCTGGTATCGATGTCAAGCTCTTCAATCGATGGCCCTACGACGATGTTCAGGTTTCGGTTTTGTGCCTTTTAAATCTCCCATTTTCTGTTTCTTTTCCCATTTTTTTTTAGTCTTGAATTGTTGTCAGTGTTTAATGCGTAGTAGTTTCTACTTATTCTTGAATGCCTTGGAAGGAACTGAGCTTTTCCTTGTTACCTTGATGATAATATGTCATGAAAGACTTCAGATTTAGTTAGAAACTACATCTCACCGCTTCTTTTATATTTATGTATACAAAATTTTACTGCAAATATCACATTTTTGAAGTTGTTAATGCCTTCTGTGCTATTTCGAGCTTGAGATGTCCTAACTGTCGTTAGCACATCTTTCGCTTTTCAGGCAACTATTTTAAGCTTATATGAAGCAATATTGCGGCTAATGGTTATGAATATTTATCTATTGGTGAATTTTCTGCTTGTCAGTTGTGAGTTGTCTCAAAACCAATTTGCGTAAACCCAAGCAAATTATTTCGTGAATCGAATATAGAAATTTCAGGTCATGATTAACGAAAACTGAAATTCTTTAGAGCAACTGCCATATGCGATGTGATCTCTGATCGATGTTCTTAGCTTGAATTGGATGAGATTAAAATTTAAACAGGAGGACAACTTGTAGGGTAGCGCGTGGAAGGGGGGATGTTCTGTTAGTTACCAGCTTCCACTTCCTGGGAATTTTACGCCTTTGGTCTTGTTGGTTGCTTTTGTTGCTACAAGATCTATCATTTTTTTTGGCTCTTTCTGCAACTCTGTTTTGGAGCTCATTTTTGAAATGAAACCTTCATTCTATAGATGTAGTGAAGGGCTCCGTGATTTCTTGAAAATTAAATTAAAATTTATTTATATGTTGTGATTTTAGGTGAACGACATATCCTTGGCTGATTACATTGGTGTGGCTCCTGCCAAGCATGCAACCTATGTGCCTCACACTGCTGGGAGGTATTCAGTGAAGCGTTTTAGGAAAGCGCAGTGTCCAATAGTTGAGAGGCTTACCAACTCTCTTATGATGCACGGACGAAATAATGGGAAAAAGCTTATGGCTGTGAGGATTGTTAAGCATGCAATGGAAATTATCCACTTGCTCACTGATCAAAATCCCATCCAAGTCATTGTTGATGCTGTGATCAACAGGTGTGCAAACAAAAAATAATCTCCTTTTCTTTTTACATCTTTGCAACAATATAATTTCTTGTTGCTTTATATTTTTGTTTGTACTATTCCTCACAAATACTTTTGTATACGACTCTAGTGGACCAAGAGAAGATGCTACGCGTATTGGATCTGCCGGTGTTGTCAGACGTCAAGCTGTGGATATTTCTCCTCTGCGACGTGTGAATCAGGCAATTTATCTGCTTACCACTGGAGCTCGTGAGGCTGCTTTCAGGAACATTAAAACAATTGCTGAATGCTTGGCTGATGAACTTATCAATGCTGCAAAGGGATCATCAAACAGGTATTCATGACATTGATTTTCAGCTGTAGTTAGAATTCTCTAATTTTGTATCTGTTGCTCGAAAATATCATGCTTGTGTAGTGTGGCTTCCCCCGTTTCCTCCTAATTCATTTATTCAGGTATCATTTTTCTGCCTGTATATTATGAATTTCTCTTTCTATGTTGCTGATTATGACATGAATTCAGCTATGCCATCAAGAAAAAGGATGAGATCGAGAGAGTTGCTAAGGCCAACCGTTGAGGAACGGAGAGTGGAATGGTGTTTAGAGTTTTTGTTCAGTGGCTTTTTCCCTTGCCTGTTGCTTATGAGTCTTCTGTTACTATTGAACCTGAAGTGAAGATATGGCTGCTTATTAGTTGTTGTTAAAGATGTACTCTATCATTGGAAATCAGATTTTATTGTCAGAAAGCGCAATTTTCAATTTTCAAGTTATATTGTCATATGACTGGCTCCTCCATAAAGTTTGGTTGCTTTACATTATTGAATTAGAGTTTCACTAGTCTCGAAGATTTGATTTTGAATGTTGGACGCTTAAATCATTAGTTATAAATGAGAGGTTAAAGTATACTTTTAATCTTTTAATTTTACATTTGATTTTATTTTAGTCTCTTGATTTTATAAAATGTATTTTTGGTTCTTTAACTCTAATACCGTTAGTTTTAAATAATTACTTTTTGTGTCTATTGTTGTTATTTTTAAACAAAATTAAACTTAACGAATCAATGTTTGAAAATGTTTTGTCGATATTTAAAAATTCAATGTAAAATTTTTTGTGTGATAAAACTGACGGTGTTAGGGTTCAATGATTAAAAATATATTTTTTAAAATTAAGAGATTAAAATAAAACTTTGAGTAAAGTTAAAGGATTAAAAGTATATTTTAGTCTAAATGAGAATGTCATTGTCTTAACAATAATAAGGTAAAATATCGTTGGGAGTTGGGACAAATCTTTTGGGCCTATTTGGTTCTTGGAAAGAACTGGAATGAAATAAGCTGATATAGAATAAAATGGAGTAAAATAAAGTCATGGATCCATAAACAGGTGATAATGATAGAAAGTGAGAATGGAAATTGATAACCTTATTCATTTGGCTGTTAGATATGGGGATCAAATATATATAAACATGAGCAAAATGTACCATCTCAGCTTCATGCAAACAGTTGATTTAGGAGGTGTTGAGGTTCAGGCACTAATGGACATCAATCTTTTTGAGAATGTTGATCTGATTTAGACATCCCCATAACAGCCTAGCAATTTGGTATCCAATAACTTCGCTCGTTTTTAGATTTTTTAATTGGACAAAGTCAGTTACATGCTCAAAGAAGACTGTATCGGTCTTAAAATTCAGTGCAATTATTAGTAGATGAAAGTGTGACGTTTATACACAATCTTTATAGTCAAATCGTAGAGCATTTATATTCTGTTTGGATTTCAGTTGAGTAAAATTGATTATGAAAAAAATTGATTAATAATAAAAATTTAAATTATGTTATCTTTTACTATAATTTATATTAATATTAATAATATTATACATATTGTAATAAAAAATACATATTATATTATTCCCCTAGAGCCGTGGATGTCACACCAAATTACTAGATAGCACCCAAAAAGAACACCGAATCAAACTGGAAAAGGCTGAAAGAAAACGCACGGAAGACACAGTAGGAGGAGAGGATGTTGCACCAGATGGACTTAGACGGAGAAAATAGCAAAGAACGACCTTCAAGGAAGAGACGGAGGAGATGCACCGATGAACTCGAACAACAGTTGCAGATCAGAGATGGAGGATGGAGGTCATAGGTCGAAGCAGGAGATGAGGTTGCAGAAAAGAAGAGAAAGGTCGCGTTAGAGAGGTTTCACTTTTTTGCGAGGATAAAGAGAAGTGATGGAGGTATTTGGGGTATTATTTGGCAGATTAAAAATTCCAGCAGGCAATAATTGCCCCAACAGATATAATCGATATTTGGAAGCTACTCTTTCGAGCTTGAGGCAAAATGTGGTTCTGGTCAAAACAATTGTGTGAAAAATGAGGTGTTTGGGTAATTTTTAGTAAAACCATAGTTTTGGTACACTTAATCGGTTTTGAAACCATATCCAAACAGGCAGTTAGTGTTCGTTCTCCCGTGATAAACCAAAAAGGATTTGCTTTTGCGCTCAAGCGACAATGTTTAATTAAGTAGTAAAAGCTTGGCTTGCGTTCCCTCCCTCCCTCTGGATTATTCAATGGCAAAATATCTCCAAGTATTTTTTTTTTTAAGAATATTGATATTCAATGTTCTATACTATCTGACGAATTGGCCAGTATGAAAGATGCTATTCTAGAGGCTTGGGAAGATCTTGCTCTTCTGGATTTATAATGATGTGAACTTTGTTAAAATTTTCATAATTTAATACCAATTATATCATCTTCATGTCACTTTTAATTTTCATTCTAAAGTCTAAGCAAGAGAAAGTTAAATGCCTGACGAAGAAAATCTTCCTCTCAAAGTCTACCTCATTTGTTACCTTGAAACCAATTGTATCTGCAATCAGTTACAGTCAAGGGCACCTCCATAACCTATTCTTTCTGACTAAGCTGAAAAGATACATACATATATATATATATATATATATATTTGACAAAAGTGGTCCATGCTCAATGATTTTGCATTATTATAAAAAATGATTTAGTCGTTGATAATCTTGCATCATGATTGTAGGGACTTTGATTCACCAAAAGTCCTTGCAAGAACAAGAACCGTTTGCGAAATGATGGAACCTGTTAGTATCTCTCAATACAATCATCCTCGCAGTAACTCTTGAAACAGCTTTCATCCATGAATGACAATCCCCACAAACCCTAAGATTCTTTGTAATCCTGATTGGCATTCCATCAGCAGTATGAATAAGTGCGAATATCGCTGCTATGCGTTCGCTATGCCCACAAGCCCATGTCACCTTCATCTCTTCATTCACATCATGAAGAACATCATCAGTGTCAGGGATATACCCTGCTTCTTTGATAGCCTCAGACAACTCACTCCAGGTTTCTGAATACTCAGCCGACGAACGAAATTCCGAGCTCCCCCCGGCGATGAAGGTATGAATTCTATGCTTTATATGTGTCCAGCTACATCCAGCCTCTTTCTTGATTCCTCTCACGGCCATCATCTCCCTAACTCTCTTCACACCATGCCACATTTCTGCTTTTGCATAGATGTTTGAGAGCATCACATAATTGCCAGGATTGTGAGGTTCAATTTCGAACAGTTTCCCGGCAACAACCTCTGCAAGAGGAACATTACTGTGAAGACGGCATGAGTTAAGTAAGGATCCCCATATGCTTCCACTTGGATTCATTGGCATGTTTTGCAGCAAAGCTAATGCTTCTTCAATTCTCCCTGCCCTGCCTAATACGTCTACAAGACAAGCATAGTGCTCTGACGATGGTTTCACCCCATAATCCTCCATCTTATTGAACAATTCTTGCCCTTTATCAGCAAGTCCTGAATAGCTACAACCTGAAAGCAAGGCAATGAAGGTAATACCATCTGGCCACATGCCATAGCTTATCATTTCATCAAATAAGGCCATGGCTTCTTCAATATATCCATTTATTGCATAACCTGTCAGCATTGTATTCCATGTAGTCAAATCCCTACTCTGCATTCTGTTAAACACTTTCTTACAGTAATCAAGGGCTCCACATTTGGCATACATGTCCACTAGTGAGTTGAGTAAGGGCAGATCACCTTTCTTCCTAGACTTCAAAATCTGGGCATGCATCTCCTTGCCACTATGAAGTGCAGTAACTCGAGCACACATTGACAAGATTGTCGTTAGAGTAACCCAACTGAACCTGATACCCTCTCCTTGCATTACTCTAAAAGCATCAAATGTCTCAGACACTTTGTCTTGAGCTGCAACACCAGCGACCAAAGTGTTCCAAGAAACCACATTTCGTTGAGGCATTCCCTCAAACACCTTTAGGGCATCACCCAAGAACCCACACTCAACATAAAACCTCAGGAGTGCATTATTCACCACTTGATCTACTTCTTCATCGCTCTTAATGACTTGAGCATGAACTGCTCTACCCAACAACGAATCAGACGTATCCGCACAGGCCTTTAGAGCCATGGAAAGCGCGAAATTGTTAGGTCGGGCATACTGAGTTGATAACATTTCAAAATATAACATCAAAGCTTCGTTGGAAAACCCATTTCTGGAATACCCAATCGCCATAGCCACCCACACTGACTCTGGCATCTTTTCATCTTCAAAACCGTAGTTGAAAATCTGGCGAGCCTCATCAATCCGACCACAAACAGAGAAGAGAGTGATGAGCTTGCTTTTCAAAATGGGGTTACGCAAAAAGTCTTGCTTGAATCTGTCCGGTGATTGAAGGAAGTGAAAGTAGAGCTTTTGCCCATGTGAGAAGGACCTTCTGGAGATGCAGGCATGAAGAAGGGAGGAAAGTGCGTCGACATCGTCTGGTTCGTAAGCCGTGGACTTCGACGGCGAGGACTCGATTAGGCTAAGCGCCTCATCTAAATTGCCAGACTTGGAGAGAAATCTGAGAGTGGAATTGAAGTTGAGGGGCGTTGAAAGTTTGCGAGACGGGGGGTTTAAGGTTACCGTTATGTTAGTTTTGACAGTTATGGTCGTTGAGAGAGAAATGGCGGGTAGCATCTTCTCCGCCAGTTATCAAGTTTCAGTTTCCATCACACTCCTGAGCTTTGAAGGCTTGAAGATGAGGGGCCTTCAAATTAAGCCCATTTTTCGGGTTATAAAAACAGAATATTTATTTTATTTTCACAATGCATAATATTTATATTTAATAATTATATTTTTTAAAGTAAGGTTGGAATATGATGTTCCATTCTCAAGATCGATTTTTTCATTATATTTTCCAACAAAATTTATTTAGATAAATTTTAATGTTATATTATTAAGCATTTAACATGCCACTTGCAAGGGAAATCATTTCACATGGTCAACTTGGAATCGTAGATCTATCACTAACTTGCCACTTGAGGTTGTCCACAATCAGAGATAAAACTTTGAGCACGTCCTAGGAGAAATTTGCTTTTGATTTACAATTGCCTTTCAGAATAACATCCAAGTACTTGATCTTTAAGTTTGGTTTGGATGGAGGGAAAAGTGAAAAAATTAAGAAAGAGAAAAAATTAACAGAAATTTTTTAAAAAAAATAAAAAATTGTATTTTTTTTTTAACTATTTTTAGAAGTTCCCCCCTAACTTTCTTTCCTTCTTATTTTTTTCTTCATCCAAACAATGAGTTAATGTTCTTCCTATCAATTAGTTCTCATTCGTAGAATGGTAGAGACGATTCTCCATGCTTGTTAATTTGCAAAAAGCAGCCTTGTTCATGTAATGAAGTCTAACCCCCAATCCTACTTGTTCAGTGCTGCAGCAGATTTTCCCTAAGGAAGCTGATGCATCCTGTTATTTTCATGTCAAATATGCCTCAGAAAGAATTGGCTCAAACAGAATCAAGCCTTGACACCAATTTCCTTGGAAGCATAAAACAAGAGAGCTTATATAGATATATATATATATATATATTTGATGAAGCTATCACTGATTAAATTAAAGTTAACCTTGCTGCTTGATAGATAACAAAGATGATTTCCATCCATATAGCCTTTTCTCAATCTTTTGCAGAATATATATCATCAAAAATCACTGTCTTATCCATGCAAGAATCAATCAAAATACTACCTAAGAGACTTGAGAGACTAGGTTTTATGTTCATTGATAATTATCTGGTAGATAGTCTTATTCCTCTTTTAGGATTGAATTGTACCAATAGCTTGCCATTCATAAGAAGTTGATAGGAGACTGGTGAAACACATTGCATGATCATTGAAACCTAAATAGGTGGAAAATTCATATCATTACACAAGACTTATTGAAGAAAAGACCAAGACATTTTGTCAAAAACCTTATAAAAATTGATCTTCAGGGCACCCCAACTTACTTTCCTTTATTCCTCTTAATGGCACGCAACTGTAATGTCAGATCTCAGATGCTACTTATATATTGTCATAAATGAGTGAGCGTACCTTGGATGAAAGCACTTTGAAAAGATTTATCGGACGAAAATCCTTAAAAAGTCTTTGTAACTTCACAATTTTGGAACAAGATATATATCAACTTATTGAGACTTTTAAGCAAAAAGCCTCTTTCTCTGAAGGTGAAGACATATTACAGATGTCATAACCAACAATGCCCCGAAAATGTTGAAAAAACCTGACATGAAAACCGTCAAAGTCTAACGCATTGTCATGTAGTATCTCAAAAGTTGGTTTTTCCACCTCATCTATAGTGAACTCAGTCAATGAAAAAATTAACACGATCTTGTTTGAGCTTCGATAAATTCAGACCAAATACAAAGTCTGAGATTTCCTCCAATGATAGCAATTGGCTGAGCATAGAAAATGTCAGCTGTGAAATGACTGGCAGCTAATCAGAAGTCCAATTATTGTCCTCATCTTTGATCCTGCAAATTCTGATGATCCTCTCTTCATCTGACAGCCCAAAAAAAAAAAAATTGTATTTCCATCTCCTTGCAGAAGAAAAAGTTGTCTTGCTCTTCGAAACCAGGCACATAGCTTCTACACAATCATAACAGAACTCCAACATGTGTTTTGCATCGTTCAACTTTACTAAATCCATCTCAGCCTGTTCTTTATCTAACTATGATTCTCCAGTTGTTGAATTCTCCACGAAAGATTACCAATTCTATTTTTGTTTCCAGCTTTGAACATTCTTCATTAATTGTATAGAAGAGAGCTTGAACTATAACAGGAAGCCATGCGACCCCACTATATTTAAACTTTGCCAAAAAATTCAAATCTAGCATAGCTTCTTCCATTCCTTTTTTGATCAAAAGAATAATTATAAAAAAAAAAGGTGGAGCATGATGAGAAGCAGCTATTGGAAAAACAACATGTGACTCCATTTCTTTTGCTAGTCCAGGTGAACCATTGTCCGAACCTCCATCATTTTAAAATCATTAATCATATTAATGAACAAATTAGCTCCTCTGATTCCTGAATGTCTACTGGATTTTTCGCCAACAAAAGAGCATATTGATTAAAATCATTTCATTCCTGTGGGACTTCCCCATAATATTATAGAATTTAAATACGTGCAGAAAAGTCTCATTCATTTATGGATATTTACTTAATACTTCAATATTTATAACAAAATTTGAGTTTTTTTTTATTTGCAGTCTTTTTAGATATTTTGAAACATGAAAAAGTTAATAATAAAAATTTATCTTTTTAAGTGTCAATACCTTTTATAATTCAATTAAATTGAATGGGTAAAATTATGAATAATGATAAATTCATGCTTATACAGAGAACAGATAATGAATTACACAATGTTTAAATATAAGTAATATTTTAGTTACTTTTAGAAATCCTCATTCAAAAAGAAAATCAAGAATAGCTCACTCCTTGTAGCTAAGGGTGAGCAGAACTAAACAAAATCGACCACATTAGACCAATCCAAACCGATCCAATAAAAATTGAATAAAACCAATCATTATTTAAGTTTGGCCTGATTTTATAAATTTGAAAATCAAATGGTTTCATTTATGTTTTGGTTTTTCTCTTTGAAACCTTAACTAAACAACCATACCAAATGCATTAGTCTAATATTTTTTTTATGATTGATATTAGACTATTAGTGTTTTTTTTAATTTTAATTTCAAATAGAGCCTACTCCAAATATAAAATATTTTAGAAAAAATGACATCTAGTCCCCTCCCAAAAAAATTAATTACAGGTAAAGACCAATGTGAAACGAATTATTATTAAAATGAGAACCTGACTTTTTTTTAATGAGACTTATTTTTATTTTTATCTGTGATTAATTTTCTTGAGAGGGAGTTAAATGTGATTCTCCCAATATTTTAATAGAATTTATAACCCTTCATTTCTCAATTTTACTACTAGAGAGTTGAATGCATGCACTTATGTGTTACGTCGAAATGATTTTTTTGAATAATTTTAGATATACAATTTTATTTTTTGATTTTTTAAACAATTACTTTTCATTATAGATATCAAGATAATTTGTAAAGAAATTTAATTATTACTTGCAAATACATATATTCTAGTGTTTTTTAATAATGAAATTTGAATATTTTTATTTTGGACATGATGTTCATTTTTATTTATGAATAATAAAACCAAGAATATGACTTGAAGTTGAAATATGAAAGAAAAAAAATTAAAAAGAATATGCTTAGCCTTAATAAATGATTTTATATATTTAAAAGTATCAAAACTTAATCCATGTATAAATCAAACTAATTAAGAGTTTTTTTTTATAATACAAACCAATTAGTTTGATTTGGTTCATGCTTTGACCAAAATTGAGTTAAACCATACCTTTGATCACCCTAACTTATAACCACACATGAGCTTATAGTTTGAATAATTAATTGTTGGCCAAAAAATTGCATAATTAGTTATATATTTTTAAAAGTTGAACATATTTTAATAATTATATAATATTTATAATCAATAATTTCATGCACTTTGCAATAGCACTAGGCCCAAAACTATTGTAAATTCTATAAATTAAATCATATGAACAATTTGAATGGATTATTATAATATGTAACATGGTATCCTAGTTTCTAAAAGAAAAACATGCCAACGATTCTCATCAATCATTGTATCCGAGGCTTGATTTTCTACGCAAGATTCCTTACGTGTCGTTTATAAATGTTCCGAACACACACCTATGCACATATATATAATATGGATTGAACTTCAGGTCAAACAACGTCCCTTCTTTCTCTCGCTAACATCATCTTCTACGTCACAGTCTGCTGTGTTTCAAGGATCCCATATCTTGGGCTTCCTTTCTCAGCACATACTTCTGAATCTTTCCGGTCGACGTCTTGGGAAGATCCACCTTGAACACCACCGTCTTCGGCACCATGAAGTGCGGCATCCTCTCTCTGCAATACTCTATTATTTCCTTCTCCGTCGGCTTCTTCTCCAGTCCCTCCCTCAAGCTCACGAACGCACACGGCGTCTCTCCCCAGAACTCGTCCGGCCTCGCCACCGCCGCCGCCTCGTTTACAGCCGGGTTACTGTACAGAACCGATTCAACCTCCACGCTGCTCAGATTCTCACCCCCACTGATGATGAGGTCTTTGGATCGATCTTTAATCTCTAAGTACCCATCTGGATGCATCACCCCCACGTCCCCTGTGTAGAACCACCCATTCTTGAAGCACTTGGAGTTCATTTCTGGATCTTTCAAGTAGCCTAAGAACCACTTCTCCGAGGGTTGACCCGTCTTGTTTTACGCTTTTACCCGAATCCGGATCCACCACGTCCATCTCTGCCATCCCGATGGTTCTCACCCCTTGCCTTGCCTTAAGTTGTGCCCTCTCCTTCGCCGGCAGCAAGTTCCACCCAGGCTTCCACGCACAAGAAACCACCACCCCCCCTGTTTCGGTCATCCCATACACGTGACTAACCACAAATCCTAACGCTTCTGTGCGGTGCAATACAGCCGCTGGTGGCGGTGCTCCTCCCGTGAAGACTCGAACTGCGCTTCTGAGAGGTTTCTTTCTTGCAGAGTTTGTTAGCATGTTGAGAACCACAGGTGCAGCGCACATGTGTGTGACACCGTGGCATTCGATCAGAGTGAACACGGTGGCGGCGTCGAATTTTCGGAGGCAGATATTGGTTCCTCCGACGGCTGCCATCCCCCACGGGAAGCTCCAC